TGTTCTGAATCATCTCAATAACCTTAGGAGGTAAACCAGCTGCATTTAAATTCAGCCTCTCACGGGTCAGGCCCAAAGAGACAGCCTCTGTGGTGAGGGGTAGAATATCTCCCCCCGCACTTGGGAAAGAAGATCCCTGCGTGCTGGTAATGGCCATGGCTGGTCGCAGAGCAGCTGTGCAATCTCCGCTACTCACAGTCTCCCCGGCGAGTATGGTGCTATTAGAATCATCGTATGATCGCTCTCTTACTCTCCGTAATGTCGGCTTGATTAGGCTTAATGGGGGAATGCATACAGTTGCGCATCTGGCCATTCGTGGGCTAGAGTATCCACACCCAACGGTGCATCGTCGCCCACTAGAGAGAAGAACAGGGGATATTGCACGATGCGAAGAGATCTACGGCAGCTCGACCGAATCGCTGCCATATCATCTGAACCACCTGGGGATGAAGTCTCCACTCCCCGTACAGCAGGTTCCCTCTGGACAGCAAAATCTGCTCCCCTGTTCATTATTCCTGGAACATGAATTGCGCGCAACGACAGGAGGTTCACGCTGCCCCACATTATCAGCTTCGCTAACATGTGAAGTTTGCGAGAGCGTAAGCCTCCCTGCCGATTTATATTGGCTATCACCGTTGTATTGTCCGTTCTGACCAATACATGTTGATTTTTGAGAAATTGCACAATGTCTCAGAGCCAGAAATACTGTCAGTAGCTCTAGAAAATGTATGTGCTCTTCCCTCAGTACCGGAGATCAAACTCCTCTCACTGCCCGTGAAGGACGCGTCTGTCGTCACCACTTTGCTTGAAACGACCGAACCCAGAGGGCATCCTGTTCTGAGAAATGGAGCACTCTGTGGCTGAGACGGCTCTTGGAGCGGATGCCCTGTGACGCCACCCAGTTTTGAAATTCCCTCATTCGCAGTAGTCCCAAGGGGACCACTGCTAGTGTTGAGGCCATCAACCCCAGTAACCGGAGACATAATCTGAGAGAGACTGTTTTCCCTCGTTGAAAAAGGGAGATGCAGCGACGAAACGCCTCGATGCGCTCCTCTGAAAGAAACCCTCAAAACGCCACAGAATTCAATCTGAGACCCAGGTAGATTATTTCCCGTGAAGGTGTTAGACAGGTCTTTGTCTGGTTTATCTTGAAACCTAGTCTCTCCAGATGAGTCACCAGTGTATTTGTATCGACCACTACTTGGTGCGGAGATGGTGCACCCACGAGCAGGTTGTCTAGATAAGACAAGAATCTGACTCCCATATTCCTTAACCGAGTAAGAGCCCCCTCTACACATTTGGTAAAAATTCTCAGAGCTAGGGAGAGGCCAAAGGGAATTTTCGCATACTCGTATGCTGTATTTTGATATGCGAATCTCGGATATGTCCTGTGCGCAGGAAAGATATCTATGTGAAAATATGCGTCCTGGAGATCTACTGAGGGTTTCTACAATGTTTTGAGTGAAAACATTTTTAACTTCTACTTTCTGAGGTGTTTGTTGAGGGCTCGAAAATCCAGAATGGGACTAAGACCTCCCCCTCTCTTGGGAATCACAAAATAACGGGAGTAAAAGCCGTTGCCTTTCTTCCGTTGGAATTATTCTTATAACACCTTTTATCAGTAAGGAGGATATTTCTTCCTCCAGAACACGAGCTGACTCCCCCTGGGCCGCTGACATTACCACGCCAATGAACACCGGAGGTTTTACAGCAAACTGGAGTCTGTAGCCCCTGTTTATAGTGGCTAAAACCCAGGGATGAACTGCGCATGCGCGCCAGTTCGTTACCTGGGTAGCGAGAGGGCCTTTCCCGTCTTCGCTCACTAGCGGTGTTGCGACACCCTCTAGTGGCGAAGGGAGGGGTATTCACTGTTTCGGGGGGGGGGGGGCCTGGGGAACATGGGCCCCCT